AGCTATCTTCAGCTAACATTGTCTTTGTTTCTTGTGCATTTCTCCAATTGCAATGTAAATTCCATAGTGATGGGGACTTTTCTGTAGTGTTCCCCACAGATTTGCAAACACTCAGGGCAGTGTGGAGCGCATAGCAGGTACTTACTAAATATTTGTGGAATAAATGCTTAGAAATGAACAAAAATGGATACAAATGCAGGTATAGGTTTGATTTGATGGTGACAAGAGGAATTCCTCCATAATTCGTTTTTATTTCTTTGAAGTGTGACAGTAGGCATGAGCTTAGAGGGAGGAGACATTGTTCAGAAGAGGTGGGGGGGGTTGTTGAGGCAAGTCTTGAAGATGGTCATCCATTAGAGGGGTAGCAAACCCACTGGAGAGACAAGGGAGTTTGTAGTCAGTGTTGAATACCCATCGCAGGTTTGTGGTCAAGTGTTTCAAAGTACAACAGGTTGGCTCGGTTGTATGATTGATTCCTGGCTTTCTGGTACATGCACTTGGCATTGGCGGAGGCCATTTGTAAAGAAACAAAATGAAGGAGAAGCAAGCCTTTCCGAAAAGATGATGTATCATCGTTTGGATGATCTTTGCAACATGCCGAGTTTTGAGGCACCGGTGGGATATGAAAGTGAAACAGTATAAGGAGGTGATCAGTTACATGGGTCTGGTGGGGAGGAAAGAAGCCGATGGTGGTTAAGCAATTAGAGAGGTATTAGCTCGTGAACGGGAGTTGAAACCAAGGGCACAGTTGATCTCACTACAGGAGAGGGGAGCTGGGAAGAGAAAGGTTAACCGAACCCTGAGGAACACTGATGGAAAAGAGTCCTATACATTTGTCATGCATGCCAGTGTCTACACAGATTCTTCGAACGCCTCAGGGCCACTGCCTGGTCTTGAACTTCATCCATTCTTTCCCTCAGGCATAGGACTGGGGCACAGAAGGTGATTCTAAAATTCACTCTGATTTGATTTCTCTGCACTCTCATTTACTAGAATCCTACCATAGTTTATTAGTTGAAATGCTGCTTGTATATAATTTCCTTTTTTTAAAATACATATTTCTTTTTTTTTTAAATTGTTTTAATGTTTACTTATTTTTGAGAGACAGAGAGACAGAACATGAGCAGGGGAGGGGCAGAGAGAGAGGGAGACACAGAATCTGAAGCAGGCTCCACTCTCCAGCTGTCAACACAGAGCCCGACGTAGGGCTTGAACCCATGAACCGTGAGATCATGACGTGAGCCAAAGTCAGACACTTAACCGACTGAGCCACCCAGACGCCCCATTAATTTTCTCAAAAAGATAAAATAATAACCTTTATGCAAATATAAGATGAACCCTTGTAAGGATTTCACTTAATTCATTAATTAACAAGGGAACCACTAAGATGTTACCACCACAATTACGTACGATTTACAGAGTTGCAAAATAGCTCAAACACAAGAAAGGCACAGAATATCCCACAGAATCAGATAGCCCAGAAGGATACGTGAGACAACACCTAACTTCCCTCTGAAAACACTACAATCTTTCAGGTTCATTTCATAGTCTTTCATGATTTTCCCCATAATGCTTTTAAAAAGTTATCGCTATCATTTCTATTCTTTGAATAAGACAGATAAAATGTTAGTCTGTTATAAAATACACATGGGAGAATATTCTGGTACTGTCATACCCCATTTGGGTACTCACTGATTGGGGGGAAGAGGCAGAATTTGTGGGATCCCTTAGGATTAATCTGTTTTCTAGTTGGAATGGGAAATATTTAAGAACCAAACCAAATGACCTCAAATCCACTCTGGAACGAAAGAGGGTAGTATAATTCAAATACAGAAGATGTTGAAATGGTCTTCTTGGCTCATTGTGAGATTTTCAAGTTGAATGGAGCCCTCCGCCACGATGTCTGTCCTCCACACCCCGCCTCACGCTTGCTTTCCTGGGAATTTGGGGCTGCCAGACTATACATTCAGTTCCAGTTCAAAATGGAAACCCTCCTCCGGGCGCCTGGGCGGCTCAGTCGGTTAAGCATCCGACTTCAGCTCAGGTCACAATCTCACGGTTGGTGAGTTCGAGTCCGGCGTCGGGCTCTGGGCTGACGGCTCGGAGCCCGGAGGCTGCTTCGGATTCTGTGTCTTCCTCTCTCTGCTCCAACCCATTCTCTCTTTCTCTCTCTCTCTCTCTCTCTCTGTCAAAAATTAAAAAAAATTAACATTTAAAAAAAAAAATGGAAACCCTCCTCTCCTGCAGTAGTGAACAAAGACAACTCCGGTTGCCGTTGGAGGATTTGGCTGCTTCAGTCCAACAGTTCAGGAGAGGATCAGAAGGGGCAGATGGATGATACTGGAGAAAACGCTTGTGTGAGTTCCCGGAGCACAATATTTCTCTTTGCGATTTTTGAGTGTTCCGCAGCAAAGCTGCCAAAAATATGAAAAGTATAAATAGAGAAGAGTGGGAAGGAGAAATGGGGACCTGTCACATTGGCAGAGAAAATGGGGAACGGAGAATTTTCCAGAGATGCAAAGCCACAGGGGGTTAACATTTACTTAGAAATGAACTCGCAGGCACAAGCTTTAGAACGAGATTAAGGCAAGAAAGACAAATTAGGGAATAGATTAAAAAAAAAATGTCAATTTCAAGCCTCTCTCGTGAGGAAAGTACAGATCGGAGAAGAGAGGAGAAACTAGGATAGACTGACTGCCGATCGTGTCTTTACTGATTAGGCTACGTACCTTTTTTTTTTTTTAATGTTTATTTATTTTTGAGAGAGAGAGAGACAGATTGTAAGTGGGGGAAGGGGCAGAGAGAGAGGGAGACACAGAATCGGAAGCAGGCCCCAGGCTCTGAGCTGTCAGCACAGAGCCCAATACAGGGCTCGAACTCACGAGCTGTGAGATCATGACCTGAGCCGAAGTGAGACGCTCTCCATCAGCATCTGGGGTCTTTCCTGCAGCTCCTGGCTTTGATAGGATGCATCATTACCACAGCCTATGATTCCAAGCCCACTCTGTGAGGTCTTGGCTGTTCCCCATTGACTCTTGGGAGGAGAGCAGGTAGAGGGGTCTTTATTCTTCTTTGCCACCTAACCCCTTCAGCATCCCCGACATTAGTACCCCAGGCGGTACACGTTCAGGTTCATTTCTTTACCAAAGGCCTGGCAATACTTGCAGAAAGGAATTATAATGGAGATAAGGAGCGGTTCAACTCCTGGCTCAGCTAGAGTTCCTCAGCTTTCTTTGAACTATAAACCAAGGTATTTGGGAGCCAGGAATGATGTGGTGCCTGGGATTTGCTTTAAAATATATTCCAGGAGCGCCTGGGTGGTTCAGTGGGTTAAGCGTCTGACTCTTGATCTCAGCTCACCTCACGATCTCGCGGTTCGTGAGTTCAAGCCCCACATGGGGCTCTGCACTGACAGTGCCGAATCTACTTGAGATTCTGTCTCCCTCTCTCTCTGCCCCTCCCCTGCTTGCTCTCTCTCTCAAAATAAGTAAATAAACTTAAAATATGTATTTTAGACACTCCCCCCTCCCCTTGTTCTTGGACAGGCTCGGGAAGGCTTGTGCTCTCCACCCTTTTTTTTGCATGTTTGCAAAATTTCATAATAAGAGTAAACGAACGAAAACCAAATGATGAGGTTTTCATTCCCTATAGCCACAGAAACATAATAGGGCCACAGAGTGCCCTCCTCATAATTGCTCCTCTGGCACTTTATTCTGATTTTCTGGACTGACTCCAGCTCTCATCCTCTGTCACATTCTCTGAGTATTGGCTGGAAATACTTTCTTCACGAAGCCTTGCCAGGCCCGATGGGAGGGAATAGGTTGTTGCAGATTCTATACCCACATGTTTAAAACGTGGCCGGTTTCCTGTCTGGAGTGACTTGAACACAAGACTGTCTTTGTAAGGCATTGTCTTCCACTGTTCCACCCCCTTTTTAGGACTATTAAGGGTTAATGGCATCTCCAACAGCAGCCGAGGCCTGGTTTCTTAAAGCAAGGCTGCAGGAAGCAAAGACTTGCAGGGTGAAGAGTGTGAAGCCTGATTTCTGGTTTGAGTTGTCACAGATTCAAGGAGAAAAAAAAGAAAAATGAATCATCATTTGACCATGGCATTCACACGAAAGGGCGGGGGGAGCAGTGGGAGAAAGAACAAAGGAAGAAGAAAGAAAACCTCAAATAAATGTTGGGGATGGGTGGCGGCGAGGAGGAGAGAGAAAATCTCAGAAACTGCGGGGAGGTGCGGCGATTGCACCAATACCGGCCACAAACACACACATTTGCCAATTCCTGGCTTAGATTAGAAAAAAATACGCATGCACTACTTGTCGGCTGTGTTTTGTCAGCAGGTAGCGACAAAATCTCGAGGTTTTAAGAACCCTGAGGACCCAAAGTTGTTCTCCGAAGCTGCCCACCCTGGACCTGAGCCCGAAGTGGAGCAGGTTGCTGCCCAGAGGACCTAAGGCTGTGTGCCCAGCTGCCCACCTTCCTCCCGGCAGTTCCCAGGATCGGAGCCCACGGGAGGAGAAGCTACGCTCGCCTGCGGGTGCCGGGGCTAAGGGCGGTGGCCCAGTCTCCCACCCAGGCCTCAGCGCCCAGGCGGCAGCGGCGGCGACGCACGGGGATCGGAGGAGTGACATGGCGATGTGCCCAACTCTGGGAGACCGGCCTCAGAACCAAGGGGCCAGCATCCGGCCACGGCTATGCTCTCCGCGGAACAATCTCAGGGAGAAGACACGGGCTGCGAGCCGATTTTCCAGTGAAAAGGGTGGGGTGGGGAGGGAGCGCCCCTGACCCTTCCCGCCGGTCCCCTCCCGGGCTCACCCCGCCTGGCCCGGAGCTGGGCTACCCGGAGGAAGCGTGCGCGGGGCCGCAGTGCCGCCCTCCGACGCAAGGGGGCAGCACCATCCGCCGAAGCAGCGGCGGCGGTCCGCGCGCCGCTCTTGGCGGCCGCAGGCGGAGGCGGACCCGCGGCGTCCTCGCTCATTGGCCACGGCGCGGGCGCTGCCATGTTGGCGGAAGCGGTGCCTCTGTGCGGTGGAAACGGGCCGTGGCTGCGGTCGCAGCGTCCGAGCGCGCAGCCTCCTGCTTCTCCTCGCTCGAGTCTCGGCGCCGAGAGGCGGCGGCCGGCGGGATGGAGAAAAGTAGGATGAACCTGCCCAAGGGGCCGGACACGCTCTGCTTCGACAAGGACGAGTTTATGAAGGTGCGCGCCGGGGGCTCCGCTCCCTGGAGCCGGGCCGTGGGTGGTCTGCCCTCCTTTGCCCTCCGGGGCCTCTCCTCGGGCCTCTCCTGGGCGCTTCCCGGGCCGCGCCCGCCGCGGACGGGCCCTCGGCGGGGACCTCGCTGCGCTTCGCAGTGAGTCTCTTGGCCTCGGGTTTGGTAGGTGCAGCCTGGAGACAGCACTTCTGTGAAATCGCGCATACGGAGTGAAAAGGCCTGAAAGTTTTGAGCTAAACGTAAACGCCCCTGTTAGGACCCGACTCCGTTACCGCGCGGGGTGCGGTCAGATTGCCGGCCCCCTTGCCTGACAGCAGCTTGTTGCCAGTGCCTTGCCCCTAGAAGCTCGGTGAGCGTGTCTTGCAAACGTCTCTAAACGTACGTGCTCACCCAGGGATCGGGTCGGGTAAAAAAGGCCCTTAATCTAAAGTTTTTGCCTGACATTCGTCTACAGCTCCTGGAATGAGAGATCTAAAGACTGTACTGTCCTTATTTCTGTTTCAGGGCTACAGAGAGGACCGTTGTCCTTTTCTAAAGTTGCCCCATTTCTCTTCCTAAGGTAAACTTGAAACTTGTCTGCGGATAATTGTAGGACATAAACGTACTGATTAGAGATCTAAACTGAGAACGTTTTACTGACGATAAAGGTTCATCAAAGCACAGCCTTGAAAATGTCCAAGATTTGAATCAGAGCCAGGAGGAACTTTGCATACCCAGTTTGTGTATCTCTCTGGGTCTGTACTTAAACTATCAAAAAAAATATGTGTACCTTTTAAGGATTGGGATTTTTGACACCACTTAGTAGCTGGCTTCGGTGTTAAAAAGTTAAAAGTTTTGGTTCTGTAGGCACCTAAAATTTTGAAAGAGTGAGTTTATGTGTCTTATTTTTTGGTGGCTTCAAGTCCCAATATTTTTTTTTTTTTTTCCTTTTCAAGGCTAACCAGCTTTTGATATTTGCATTCAGATCATATCTCCCAAACTCTGGCCTTAAAAAGCATTTCTATCTGGATCCTCTGTATTGTGGCCATTGTTGTTTTTAATATGTAGGGCTGTCTAGACTGAGGAAGAAGCTACTCTTGTTCTTGTACAGTGGTGTTTCTAAACCACTGTAATAAAAGGTGTAACTCGAATGGAATGTCTAAACTTTAATGTTTATTTAGTTTTAAGAGAGAGAGAAGGAGATAGAGCATGAACAGAGGAGGGACAGAGAGCGAGGGAGACACAGAATCTGAAGCAGGCTCCAGACCCTGAACCGTCAGCACAGAGTCTGATGCGGGGCTTGAACCCATGAACCTTGAGATCATGACCTGAGCCAAAGTCAGACGCTTAACCGACTGAGCCAGCCAGGTGCTCCTCGAACGGAACGTCTAAAAGAGAGTACAAAGTGAATTCACTGATCTGGAAGCCCCTTGCTAACTAAGGATACATGATGACGAGACATCACAGGAGCATTTTCTCAGACTTCCCTCGCCCCGCCATGTTTCTCACTGTGAGCTGACAAAATGCTTTTGGTCAAAGCAGCTTCAGAAAATAGAACTCTCAGAATAGAAGTCCTAAAGTAGCGCTTCGAGGTAGGGAGAGAGCATACTGGCCAAGTGGCTGGAATCCCAGCGGCTCCGTGTTCTCTCACGGCTCTAAAACTTCCAAACATGCCACACAATCTGTAGGGCTAATTAACCTGACCACTTCGTTGGTAGAAGGAAAATACACGGAACAGCTGCTCTGTGTATTTTGCTATTGATTTTCTGGGTGCGACCTGGAGATAAAGGTTACCTGCAGTGTGGGTTTCCTTCAGAGGGACGTTTTAGAAGTTACAGTTCCGTGGCAGAAAGGATGGGTGGAGAGCTTGCCGTCGGGGTTCTGTTTCTGGAGAGGTTTTGTAACTGGAGAGGTTTTGTGCCCGAGGGAGAGGGAGAGAAAATCGTATTTTCACTGGGAGAGCCGAGGTAACTTGCAATCCGGTCAGTTGACTAGAAATGGGCCCTCAGTCGGTCACACGCGAGGTGGACCTCCTTGGGCAGTGGTAGCAGTTGCTCACCGGTCAGCAGACACTCACTGATCACCTGCTGGGTGCCAGCCAGCAATTTGGACGTGGTGGTACAAAGCCAGGGAACACACATTGGCATTGGCTTTTGAGCGTGGTGGTAGGACGAACGTGTGTGCCCAGAATCCACCCTTAGTCCAGAGAGGCCAGGGCCTGGAAGAGTGGCCAGGAATGAGACCAGCAAGGAGGCCAGGTGCATGGGGTGGGCCTGCAAGTTGTACCTTGAAGGCTGCAGCCAGGGGTCTAAGTGGAGACAGTACTCATCGTCCGGTTTAAAGCGGGAAGTTACATGGTCCCGCCTGTTGCATTGGAGCTGAGTGGCGGCAGGAGACTACTTGCAAAGTTATTTCAGTGGTTTTTATGAGACCTAACGAGAAACACAGAGGAGGGGAAAGGTTTGTGAAAGACGTAGGTGATCAACACACAGGAGCGGCAGGTCCGGAAGGGCCACTTGGGGCCGACGGGGTGGCAACAGCATTCTTTGTGACCTGAAAAATACCAAGATCCTTAGGCCCGACAGCCAACTCATAGACGAATAGGACGTAAGGTGTTGGCAGTAGGGAGAGAAAGTGGCAATGCCGACCAAGGTAAGTTAGACCCGTTTGCGTGGGTGTGCTGTTGACGTCATGGCCCTCCCCTTCCATCCCGATGTATGACTTCATCTCCAGTTTGACAGAAAAAATAGCGGCCATCAAATGGGAACTCCTCCGTCTTGCTGATAACAAGCCCATCCTTGTGTTTGTTCCCTTCCCCTCCTTCCCTGGTCTGTGGAGGGGCTCTCCTCCCTCCTCCAGGTAGCTTTTCACCCATCCCTGGAGCCCGTGCCCTCTTGCGTCCTCAGCACCCTGTTCGCATCCTCTCCTGCACTCCTTCCTGTTGGTTTGCACCCATGCTCCTCTTTTAGCCTCTTCCACTTGGCCCTCCCGCCTCGAGGGGTCGCCCTGACACTGGAGCACATCACAGCCGGTGCTCAGGGGTCATCTTTACTTTCTCACTTGTCACTCTTAAGGCACCCTCATCCCACTAAAGAGTTCTTAACAAGTTAACCGGATGTAAGTCAGTCCCGCTGGCCTTTTTTTCTGTCTCCTTACTTGCCCTCCCGGCAGACCAAATGCTCTGCATTGCTTTCTGGCTTTCTTCCTCTCTCTCTGGTCCGTCTCCTGTCTCCTGTAGCTGATGAATGGCTGGTTATGGGCTCAGTCACGTGTCCTCTCCTTGCCCCAGGTGGCCCTTCATGCAGCTTTAGTGACCAGCTATAGGCAGGGGAGGCAGATGCCTCTTTCTGGCCCAGATGTCCCCTGAGCTCCAAACCTACGTACTGCATTTGTTGTCTCTTCTTGGATGTCTCTGTGGTCCCTCAAACTTACCATGTTCGAAACTGAATTGGTGAGCACCTCCTCCCCTGAAAGCCAGCTTTCTTGTCCTGTTGCCCGTCTCAGAACATGCTCCACCATGCATCGAGTTGTAAGTCAGCAAACCAGAAGTCCCCTTCTCCCTCTGTCGCCCTTCCAAAATCCAGTCTGTTACCAAGTCCCGTGGATCTCACTTCCTGAATACCTCTTGAATCCGTCTACTCTCCATCTGTTCGCGTACCTTCACGGTGCTGTCTGGCCATCACACCATCAAGGCCTCTTACCCGGTCTCCTTGCACCCGTCCTCGCCTGTTTCTAGTCCCTCGTCTACACTACAGGCAGAGCGCTCTTTTCGAAACACGTATCTGGTCTCGTGTAACAGGTGGCTGGTTAGTCCACAGGCTCACGAGGAAACATTTCCGAAACATTTGAACCTATTTCAAAGAGTCTCATTCCCCTGCGGGATAGTTTTGATTGGCAGGCAGTGTAGTGCGTTTCTATGCTGAGCCAGTCTGCTTCTTCTGAACTGTATCAGTTCCTTTCCTGCACCCCCAGCGCATGGTGGCTTTGTAGGCACCCTGGGTAGGCACACAATACCTTTTTAATGAGAAGCGCCATCAGGAACCCTCTTTATGGTGACTGTAAGCATCTACAAGAGAATACAGATCTGGGGGATGAGTCATTGAGGCTCCTCCCTTATTGTAATTGGGTGAATTGGGGATATTGAAGCAGGAAGTGTGTCAAGGGCGGTCCTGTTCTCAAGGAGCGTGTATTCTAATGGGGAAATAGAAAAGGGAAAAATGAGCAGCTGCTCAGATCTTGTATTTTGCTGGTTGAGTGGCTGTGACCTGGAGACGTGGGTCCCACTTTCAGCCCTGCTGTCCGTTGGCCGGTGACTTGGGACCGATCACTTGCCTCTGGGCTTCGGTTTCTGCAGTATCTGCATAATCTCTGCAGCCTCTTCCAGCCCTTGACATTTCATGCTTCTGTGAAAGAAGGACAGTAGTCACTTTTTCAGGTTCGAAGACAAGGAAACTGAGGCCTTGGGGTGTCATGACTTCCCCTAAAGTCACACAGTTATTTGGGGGCACATCACGGGCCTTATCTCCTGACCCCCATGCTTCAGTCTTGGGAAATAATACTGTATAACATGTTCCTTTCCAGAGGCCACAGGTGGGAACTTTGGGAAGTGGGATAATCGGAATATTGAGAACAGCCCAGAAGATGGCACAGAGTCTGAATGCCTGCATTCCACCAGTACGGAAGAGATCGAGGGCTGCCTCCTATTTTAGAAGAAATTCTGACAAGGCTGGTGATCTGGACTCTTGGCCTGTAGCTTAGGTACAGTAGATGAGACGAGAGGGAAAAAGGTGGCCTGTTCGAGGTGGACTTCGTTGACGGCACCTAGAAACTGACAGAGCGACTGACAGAGAAGGAAAAGAGGAAAGTGGCGAAACGCAGACAGTCTGAAAGCGGGTCCGCGGCCGATGCCCAGTGGCCTCCACCCCGGGGAGTGCCTTCATCTCACAGGAGCTGAGCGCTCTACCTTGTAGGTTCTTGGTTTGATGCCACGTCTTGATGAAAAGATTC